CTCTCTCTCTCATTCTCTCTCTCTCAAATAAATAAATAAATAAAATCTTTAAAAATAAATAAATAAAAAAAATTAAAAAGGTATATATTTTCTTACCATGAATAGTATGAGCATATAGAATGCCGCTGGTTTAGGATAAATATGAAAAGAATAATACCATGGTTATTCTCGTCAGGGTGATCGTGGAGACCCTGGACCTGCAGGTCTGCCAGGCTCTCAGGGTGCCCCTGGAACTCCTGGCCCAGTTGGTGCCCCAGGAGATGCAGGACAAAGAGGAGATCCGGTAAGGAGAGTCAGTTTCATCCTGACAGTTACAAACATCAGTGTGCCATATTGTGAGCTACATGCATGCACGCACAGAATCATACAAGCACATTTGATTAAGGACTCTAAACAAAGAATGATAAACAGCCAATTATGACTTAAACTGTTTTAATGTTAATGGAAAACATTTGATTTCTAATAGATATTCAAAAATCCTGATGCTTTGAATTTCATCATCTAAAGATGTTGTGATTGATAGGAAATGTAGTAAGTATGCATCATGGTAAATTTAAGCAAATAATGTCTTAGCGTAATCCACTCAGGGGATCTTCAGTCAGTGAAGTCAATTAATGAAATTGACTAAAGAAGTGTCATTGGGGTTGTAGTGAACACATCTTATGCCTAAGGACATTAGCTTGATTTTAATCAGTTAGACATAAGAGTATGCACGTAGATATACATAAACATATATAAGTATCCAACTTATGTATTTTTGAATTCTGTATCTATATAGTATATGCATATTTTTTACACACTAATTTTTGTGAAAATTTCTTCTAGGGTTCTCGGGGTCCTATAGGACCACCTGGTCGAACTGGAAAACGTGGCTTACTTGTAAGTTCTCTGTTTTTCTTTAAAAATAAAAATCTTCTCACATAAAATATATATACTCTCAAAGAAGCACAATTTAAGATTCATAAATGAAAATTAGCAAGTTCCTCAAACTGTGGACAAAAATATTAATTTAATATCCAGAAGTTTGTATTTTTTTATAATTTTAACATATGTCCTCTGAATTTCACTGTGAATTCTTTCAATAATCAATAAAGACCTTTAGAGTCATAGGTTTCTCTCAAAATAATAGGAATCTTAGTGCCCTTTTTAGAGATTTTCTAGAAATCACATAGGAAAATGGGTTTGAAATCTCTTTGTAAACTTGAAAAGTGCTAGTCAAATATTTTTTATTTTCAGCTAGACTACTCTGCTCATGTTCTGATCTTTTTGCTATTTGCAATTACTTCCAGGTTAATGATTATTATATAGATATTTTACTGTGAATGAATCATCTCTGATGGCAGCCTAATAGGCCATGTTCCTTTCACACTCATTATATAAATTAATATCTATATTGATGAAGAAAAATTATAGCCTTAAATTCATGGCCTATTATTAAATCATAATTCTCAGCTTTGATTTGAGCCTCACTGGAGAAGATTTCATAGTTCTATGGCATGTCAAGTGAATGATTTTCTAACTAGTTACAAAAACAATGTGGTTTATTTTTCATGATTAAGTGAACTTTAGTTAGTAATTTAAATAGGTGCTTTCTGGTTTACTTTATTTTCAATTATGAAGTTTTAGGACACCCCAAGACAAAAGAACCTCTCTAATGTGAAAACATTCAGGCTGATTTTAGTATTTAAATTTGCATTACTATATAAAATATGTAAAAGTAACTAAGATCTACTCTTATTTTTATGATAAAAAGATTCCCATACTGTTTGACAATTAGGATGTCCAAATTAAAAAAAGATAGAGAGAGAACCAAACAAAATAACAAGAAACTAATAAGAAAATAATTAACCTGAGAGCCAGTCTATTTGATGATATTTTCCATTCTCCAAAGTCAGATTGATAGAGTTTGAATTATCTTTTAGAAAAACTAAATACAACAGAAGCTGTCCCTATAGTAGGTGACCCTATATAGGCCTCTTGTCTGTTTACTGTGAACCACTGGATTCCTGGAGTTGCTCCCATTTTCTAAGACTTTAAAAAATGAAACAAAACAAAATAAACAAACAAACAAAAACAAAGAAAAAGGCAGCCCAAGACTGATCAGATTAATCTGGTAATTTCTACCTCTTCTCTAGGCGTAGCTTCTATCCTACAAGAAGATGCTTAATTATTGCTTTTTTCTTTAGTTTCTCAGGATCAGGACTGATGAATTTGGGTACAGATATTGCAGATATAAGGATAACAAGCATTTCTTTGTGTTTTCTTTAGAGGAGAGTGGCTTAATGATGATATTCCTCTTCCATTTGCTTAAACAAGGCTTTGCCAATTTTTTATTCCCCCCCAAGTTTGAGATATAATTGGCATATAACATTATTACAGTGCATAGCACAATGATTTGATGTATGTATATATTGTGAAATGATTATCACAAGTTCACGGTAAGTTTAATTGGCACCCATCATCTCACATATTTGCAAATTTTATTTTCTTGTGATGAGAACTTTTAAGGTCTACTCTCTTAGCAACTTTCAAATATGGCCAACTTCCTTAATATACTCCCAGCTGGCATATCCAGTTAGCTTATCTACATGTGCAAATTTAATAAACATTCCTTTCTTAGAGGAAAAGTAAGTAAGAACTCATGTTTTAGTTTAAAAGAATCCATGTATGGTGGCAATATTTTTACATAATGATATCAGCATAATATGTGAAATACAATCCTTGGAAAATGTTTCAGATCAGTTAGATCAAACTTAAAAATACATCATTTTAGTATGAATGCAGGGTAGGCATTTAACAAACTGAATCTTTTGGAAAGCATTATTATATATCTTATGTTTTTAGTGATCACCTTCATTCCTTGAGGAAAATAGACAAAAACTTCTAGGTCTAATTCTATTTAGATAAGTAACTATGTTAGTTCATACAGTAGTCCCCCCCTTATCCGCCATTTCACTCTGCGGGGTTTCCGTTACCCGCGGTTAACTGCAGTCAGGAAGCTAATGATCCTCCTTCTGACATATCATCAGAAGGTCAATAGTAGCCTAATGCTACGTCACAATGCCTACGCCATTCACCTCACTTCATCTCCTCACGTAGGCATTTTATTATCTCACATCATCACAAGAAGAAAAACGGTGAATATAATACAATAAGATATTTTGAGAGAGAGAGCAAATTCACATAACTTTTATCATAGTATATTGTTGTAATTGTTCTTTTTGTTATTCATTACTGTTAGTCTAATTTGTGCCTAATTTATAAATTTAACTTTATCATAGGTATGTATGTATAGGAAAAATCATAGTGTATATAGTGTTCGGTCATCCACTGTGGGTCACGGAACATATCCCCCGTGGATAAGGGGGGGCTGCTGTACAGTATTCAAAAGTGTAGTAAATACAACTATAAAAATTAACATTGCAGTAAATTATAATCTCACCGAGCAATACCATGTCATGACCCTATTTCTAGGGACCCCAAGGACCTCGAGGTGACAAAGGTGATCACGGAGACCGAGGTGACCGAGGTCAAAAGGGTCACAGGGGCTTCACTGGTCTTCAAGGTCTTCCTGGACCTCCTGTAAGTTACTCCTTTAAGTATTATTTGCCTTCCATGTGAAAATACACAGGTATCTTGACAGGAATATTTATTTGTCCATAAAATGGTTGGACTTTTTATATCTTATTTTCATTTGAAAGCATATCTTGAATATTTAATTACCCAGTTACTCATTGTAATTTGCCATATATCAGCTGTAATTTTGTAGGAAGAAATAAAGCAAAAGGACATATGTACCATTACTCTACAGTTTAGTATTAGTCAACTCATGTAGACATCGTAGAGATTGATGACTTCAAGAAATTAGTTTATCCTGCTAAAGTCAATAACAGCACATTTTTAATCATTTTTAAAAGCTGAGAATGGCAAAATGTAGGTGTAAATATTTTGGCGACATTTTTTACTTTTTTCCTACTTAGGGTCCAAATGGTGAACAAGGCAGTGCTGGAATTCCTGGACCATTTGGCCCAAGAGTAAGTAACAAAACCTACTAAGTTGCAGATGTAAATAACCACAATGCTTTTGGTGACACAGTGCTAGGGCTTGAGTATCATTTTTATGGCATTGAAGCTGGAGTCAGCCCAGGTTTTCTGAAGCTGACAGCAAATGTATGAGACAAACCATTCAGCAATTACCTTTAAGTAGAAATATTCTGAAACATTGCTTCATGGGCCCACATTAAAACCTTTTACCTACCCTGTATATACTGATCTGTTACTTCATTTTGTTAGTTTGTGTTCATTGAAATTTCACTGAACTCTTTAAGAAGATACAATAGGACTTACTATGAGGTAGAAACAGATTTTGAAGCTGGATATGTTTTTTTTTTTTTCCTTTAAGTAATTGAGATACTTTTTCAGAAGTAGTTTGCATAAGGCTAATTCAGAAGCAAATCATAAAATGAAACCAATATTTGAAGCTTTTCAAAATTCTACATTGGTATCAGTGCTGCCTCCAATAGGCCATTAATGTCCTAAGACAATTGACACACATAATTACCTAGGACAATCGTGGGAAGAATTTCTGCTATGTCTAAATACAGTGTAAACAAATCATACATAACATTGAGAAGAGTAGTATTAATATAACTGGGATGTGATGAGATCCTGGGGAATAAGCACAGAAGTTTAACTTATATTAATCACTCATACCTCTGCCATTTTCTTAGTCCTAATTAATTAAATTTCTAATTAACTTTATAATACATGAGATTTGATGAAACAGCCTTCTTCCCATAAAAGTCGATGATCAGTCCAGTAAAGTTTTTGACTGATGGGGGTCTTTTACCATGTATGGATGATGGAGAATCCAAGTGTGATCAAACAGTGAACATTAAGGAGCCAGAACTCCATTGATTAGTCAGCAGGACAATGAATGAGAAACCATTGTGATTGCTCTGTAAGGAAAACAGTTCTTTGACTAGACAGTCATTGTAAAAAGTTCTCTTCATAGAATCTAAAATACAGTCCTTTTTTCTGGCAGGGTCCTCCAGGTCCAGTCGGTCCCTCGGGTAAAGAAGGAAACCCTGGACCACTTGGGCCTATCGGGCCCCCTGGTGTGCGGGGCAGTGTTGGAGAAGCAGGACCTGAGGTAATCACAGGGGTTTGCATGCAAGAAATGCTGTTGGTTCCCAAAGCTTGGACTCTACCCAAGGAACATCTGTGCGGCATGGTGGACAAGAGATCGAAAGGACTCTGGAAACAAACCTAGAAGTCATACAAGAACTTGTCCATATGAGTAACTATTTCAAGTATTTTAATACAGATTATTCAGAGCATATTAAATTAGAGTCCAAGCTACGGAAGCCTGGACTTCGTGTGACACCAATGAGAGAAAATAGCAGGTTATGATTGTATTTATAATTAAAGTTACGAAAATGTTGCTTCGCTTTAAATGGCAATATACTAAACATGAGATTGATGAGTACAGTCATTCAGGAAAAGGCTGGAAAGGGAAAAGTACAAAATTAAAGTTTTTCTCTATGGAAAATGCCATTCAGAAAGGATTTAAATTAAAACTTCTTATAAAACATTCTAATAGTATCAACTTGGGAAACATCAGGAATTTGGGAAACACGCTCCCATTTCTGCCATGCACCCATGTGCGTGTATGTATGTGAGTTTACACATCCCTCTGTGCTATTTCTTCCTCTTTGGTCTTATTTACCTTTCCCTTTTTATTCTGTCTCTTCCCCTTACTGATAGTAACACTAAACCAAATATTTATTATTTATTATATGGATGGAACAGCCTTATTTTTCCCATGGTCAAGAGGAATATTTCCTATCTATTTCTCTGGGAATGGAAAACAGCTGCAGAATTGGAATACTTCTGACTTATGTGGCTCTTGATTGACTTTATTCTGTGGTCCGGTGGTCCTTAATAGAAAAAAAATCTCTTCCCCCCTATTAGCATAAAGGAATGCATAGAATCACGATATGACCTTAAAGGGAGAAAACCCAACGGCTTTACCAGTCTGTTGAGGGTGAGGCCAGGTTGGCAGTGTGAAGCGACTTGCTCAGAGCCACCTAACACGGTGCGGCTAGTATAGAACTCCAGCCCTCTGACAGCCAGCACTGCGCTCCCCACATGAAAGGTGGACTACACACCCTTGCAGGCTGTCCCCCGATCCCCTCAAGTTGCTGAGCTCTTCCCTGGGAAGCGATTGATAGGGAGGATTCACTGCTAAGCACTTTCTGTGCTTATGTCCCTATTACTCCAATAGTTCTTGTATGGCAAGAAAAGTAAGAGAGCTGTTTATTTTTGTTAATAAAAAGGCTAAAGAGAACTTTATTCAATTTTGTTTAGTACAGAGAAATTTGATCTACACATTAATTAATGCACATAAAAAGACTTCCTATACTTTCCTCTGTATTTGGAAGTAGGGGAAAATTCTTTCAGGGTGTTTCTTGTGGGTATTTCCCTTGATATAGATGTGAGGTCTTAAAGAACTAGCACCCACAACTCCTCTGCATCTCCTCCTCCAGCTTCTGTCTGTAAGTCTTTTTGAAATATTTTAGTTTGCTTTGCCCCAGTTTGGAAATGAATGTACATACCTACACATTCTTAACATAAAATATATTGCATCTGCAAGGTAAACGTCGGAGCAAATATTTTATGCTTTGATTTTTATTGGTCTCAGATGCTGGCTTGCAGATCTGTTGCCTGATAAAAGTTATGCATCATTTCTCATGCTTGAAAAGTTACAGGAGCAGGCCCAGAGCCATCTGGTTTTAAAAAGTCATGAGGTCAGGGGCGCCTGGGTGGCTCAGTGGGTTAAGCTTCTGACTTCGGCTCAGGTCATGATCTCAGGGTCCTGGGATCAAGCCCCATTAGGGCTCACCGCTCAGTGGGGAGTCTGCTTCTCCCTCTCGAGGCCCCTCTCCCCCACTCATACTCACCTGTGTTCACGCTCTATCTCTAATAAATAAATAAATCTTAAGAGAAAAAAATCATGAATTCACAGATCTGTCGGTACCATCAAACTGGGATATCGCACTAACTCCCCACATACAAGTCTCATCAATGCCTTTGTGTCCAGTTGAAAAGCAAAAACAAAAAATATATATTAACTGCATTTCTGATTTTTTAAAAATTAGGGTCCTCCTGGTGAGCCTGGTCCACCTGGTCCCCCCGGTCCTCCGGGCCACCTTACAGCTGCTCTTGGAGATATCATGGGTCACTACGATGACAGCATGCCGGATCCACTTCCAGAGTTTACCGAAGATCAGGCGGCTCCGGATGACAAAAACAAAACTGACCCAGGGGTTCATGCTACCCTGAAGTCACTCAGTAGTCAGATTGAAACCATGCGCAGTCCTGATGGCTCTAAAAAGCATCCAGCACGGACGTGTGATGACTTAAAGCTTTGCCATTCTGCAAAGCAGAGCGGTGGGTAGACACCTCCCCATTTGAGCAAGGTCCATTGTTTCTGATTGTGTTCTCAACTGCATCCCTAAATATTTTACTGAGTCTCTACTTAAGTGACAGACACAAGAAGTAAAATGGCAAGCCTGTCATAGAATTTATGCTTTAGTGGTGGGGACAGTCAATGACGTGAAAAATTATAGGATGAGATGATAAGTATTATAAAAGAGGGCATACTCTATTAATGATCCCATTTCATGTAGTTCCAGAGATAATTTATAGCATTCTAATTGTAGTTCAACTCATTTACTTACTTTATTCATAGATTATTAGATTCCAATCATATTTTGCTTTAAAATATCGGCTTTCTAAATTTAATGAGAACACATCCATTTTGGCAAAACCATGTAATTATTGTGGATTGTCTCTTTTTGGTATAGTTTTCTAATCTATAAGATGGGTATAATGATATTTCCTTCCCATGTCTGTTTTGAGCCTTCAGCACATGATGTGGCAAAGTGCCTTAGAACAGTGCCTGGCGGGACGCCTGGGTGGCTCAGTCGGTTAAGCGGCTGCCTTTGGCGCAGGTCATGATCCCAGGGTCCTGGGATCGAGCCCCGCATCAGGCTCCCTGCTCAGCGGGAAGCCTGCTTCTCCCTTTCCCGCTCCCCCTGCTTGTGTTCCCTCTCTCGCTGTCCCTCTCTGTGTCAAATAAATAAATAAAATCTTTAAAAACAAACAGACAAAACAAAACAAACAGTGCCTGGCAGTAGAAAGTGCTCAGATGTGTAACAGTTACTTTTTCCTAGCTGCAGAGTATTTCCTGAACAGAGATACTCTCTCTTAAAAGAGTCCTTCATCAGTGAGTTCGTATCTTCAAACCCTCTGTTAATTCTTTCAGAGACTCATAATCATGTTTGAAATTCTCTTTATTTAGCACGTACTTTTATTTTGGAAAATAGGTGAGTACTGGATTGATCCTAACCAGGGATCTGCTGAAGATGCAATCAAAGTTTACTGCAACATGGACACAGGAGAAACATGTATTTCAGCAAACCCATCCAGCGTACCACGTAAGACCTGGTGGGCCAGCAAGTCTTCTGACCATAAGCCTGTTTGGTATGGTCTTGATATGAATAGAGGATCTCAGGTAATTTAATATACTTTCTAAAAATTATTTCTTTGCTTTTCATTATTTATTGTATTTTATTATTTATTTAGGACTATGCTATTATTTTTGACCAGATTTATTATTACATAAATAAATTTTACTATGAATTATATTAACATAAATTTTGAATGATAATTTTCCCATTGATGGAATGTGGAAAAGTAATTGTTTTTACTATTAGTACTTTTAATGCATGTGACACTGACTGTGGAGTATACTTAAAAGGATCTTGCCACAGTTGAAAGACATAGATTATATTTAGCTTCAGGAGAACTTGGTGACTAGCACCTGGATCTCTTGCTGACTTTGTGACCTCAGGAAGTCACTTAACCTTTTGGAGCCTCAGTTTTGCCATTTTAAAGTGAAAGTGATGGGGCGCCTGGGTGGCTCAGTCGGTAGAGCCTCTGACTCTTGGTTTTGGCTCAGGTCATGATCTCAGGGTCCTGGATCGAGCCCTGTGTTGGGCTCCGTGTTCAGTGGGGGAGGGGGGATCTGCTTGAGGATCTCTCTCTCTCTCTCTCCTTCTCCCTCTGCCCCTTCGTCCGCTCATGCATGCTCTCTCTCTCAAATAAATAAATTTTTAAAAAATTTTAAAAATAAAGTGAAAGTGATAATATTTATCTCACAGTCTCTGTGTGACTATAATAAGCTTAATATATTATTTAGTACCTGGTAAGCTACAAATAAATATTAGATAGTTACCATAATAGTATTTTTAATAATTAGATCACTATGTAAACTTGGTTGTATTATTTAAACTTAAGGCATTTGTATAATTACAGTCGATCCTTGAACACAGGGGTTAGGGAGAAAAATCAGTCAAAAATCTATGCAGTCAGAAATCCTCTTACAACTTTTGACTGCCCTCAAAGTTTACTAATAGTCTACTGTTGACTACAAGCGTTATCCATAACATAAACCGATGATTAATGCATATTTTGTATGGTGTATATATTACATACTATATTCTTACAATAAAGTAAGCTAGAGAAAAGAAAATGCATTAAGAAAATCCTGAGGAGGAGAAAATACATTTGTAGTACCGTATACTGTATATACTGAAAAATTCTGTGTATAAGTGGACCCAGGCAGTTCAAACCCATGTTCTTCAAGGGTCAACTGCATATGAATTCTTTCAATATTTTTAAGTCCATTCTCCTTTATGTTTCTTTCATGGTCCTGTATTTTGATTCTCAACCAGCCTTGCCACTTCCTATTGTAATATGAATATTTCATTCTGGATCTCCTTATGGCAGCCTAACTCTGCAATTTTCCTCTCACCTCTGCTTCTGATCTTTCCTCAGAACACGTGTTCATAGCAAACATAATGAGACATTATGGATGTGTGTAGGATATACTAGACTCTACCCTTGTTTAATGAGTAGGAAATTTTAAAATTTAAATATACCCAGTTGAAATATAACTTAATTAATATAATATGTAAGAGACTTAAGTAGGAGCATTGAAAATAAAATTTGAAATAGAAGATAAGTAGAAAAGAACCTGTAGGAAAATATTTTTGATTATCTGTTTTTGTTAGCTAATGGAAAGTTTGTAATTCGTATTTCCTCTAAGTATGTAACAGTGGGTTTTAAAAGATTTTAAGCCAGTAATTGAGTCCCAGTTCTTATTATAATTAGCAATAAAAACAGGGAGTTATTTTTGATACACGATTAAGTCAATGCTTAAGTATAACTTCTAAAAAGCAATATATAAGACTTTTTAAACAAATAGAGAAGCAGATTTCAAAAATACTTAAATTTCCTCTGATGAGTTATAATTATCATTGGTTTCATTACCTTTTGTTTGGGATAGTAAGGACAGAGGTTCTTACTTGTGAATATTCATAGAAGTTTCAAAATATTTTTATATATAGGTAAAGTATGTTGTTATATGAAAGAATAAAAGTAATATTTCTCAAAACTGATGTCTGAAATCAAAACAGACACACACACACAGAGGGCACTATGAAACCCTTCAGTGTTTCATTTAACAAAGACTCTTTGTTTCTGTAGTTTGTTTATGGAGATCATCAGTCACCTAATGCAGCCATTACTCAAATGACCTTCTTGCGCCTTCTATCAAAAGAAGCCTCCCAGAACATTACTTACATCTGTAAAAACAGTGTAGGATACATGGATGATCAAGCCAAGAACCTCAAGAAAGCTGTGGTTCTCAAAGGGTCAAATGACTTGGAAATCAAAGCAGAGGGAAATGTTAGATTCAGATATATCGTTCTTCATGATACTTGCTCTGTAAGTACTTTTGACCTACATTGATCTGGTTGAAGAAGAAATTTATTTTTGATAAAAATACTGTCATGGCAGAAGTGGGGGCAATCTTACTCTCACTTTGTTTATACTTGTTCTTTAGGGTAAACATGAATGTGTGTTAGTCCATGAAGCACAGTAGAAGTTTTAATACAAAATAACTAACAAAGGACTGGGTCCTTGGGATTTAACCCAGCTCCTCTGTAAACTCTTCGGTGGTTCTTCTGCAAGTAACTTTATTTAATCTCAGTTCCAGGCCTAAAATTCCTCGATTCTAAAACATATACTCATTCTGAGATACCCCTTACCTTTTTCACTGATTTGTATGTCTCCTCACTTGCATATATAGATATAAAAGGGAAAATATTTATTGATGAATTATAGTTTCATTTGTGAAAAGCAAAAAGGCTTTCATAATTTATGTTAGTGACCATTTTGGAAGCCGTAAAAGAACAAAAGGCATTTCCTCAATTTAAACATGAAGGAAATGCCTGCCAGCCATGCCAGGACCTAACTTGATGTTAGCAGTGCTCTTAATTTTAAGTAGTGCTCTAAAAATCATTGCTTTCACATTATAAAATTTGGCTTGGAAATTTATATCTAACATCTTTGGAATAACTTGTCTATACCATTAACCCGTTGCATCGTTTAATTCCAGAAACGAAATGGAAATGTGGGCAAGACCATCTTTGAATATAGAACGCAGAACGTGGCACGCTTACCCATCATAGATCTTGCCCCTGTGGATGTTGGCAGCACAGACCAAGAATTTGGCATCGAAATTGGGCCAGTTTGTTTTGTGTAAAGCAAGCCAAGATACATTGACAATGAGCACCACCCCCGCCATCAATGACCACCCCATTCACAAGAATTTTGACTGTTTGAAGCTGATCCTGAGACTCTTGAAATAATGGCTGATCCTGCATCAGCATTGTATATATGGTCTTAAGTGCCTGGCCTCCTTTCCTTCAGAATATTTATTTTACTTACAATCCTCAAGTTTTAATTGATTTAAAATATTTTTCAATACAGCAGTTTAGGTTTAAGATGACCAATGACAATGACCACCTTTTAAAAAAGTAAACTGATTGAATAAATGAATCTCTGTTTTCTTCAATTTATTTCAATGTAATGACAAAGTTGCTTAGTATTTATGAGAAAATTCTTCTTCCTGGCAGGTAGCTTAAAGAGTGGGGTATGTAAAACCACAATACATGTTTATTTCACTTGGCTGTAGTTTGAAAAATAGAAAGTAGTGCCCTTCTGTGACCTCTCATTCCCAGATTATCAATTAAAAATGAAATCAAAATGTTTATCCTTGTGAGTGAAACCCACATGCATGTCTTGATATTGTTTAACTACCATAAAAACTCTTTAAAGAGAACTTTGGAAAAAAAATCAGTTTCTGTGTCTCAAATGGAATTTTTAAGTAATATATATTCAGTGGAATTTCTGGAAAACAAAGTGATCTTAAATTTTTGTAAAGTGTGGTAAGTTCAGACTTTTTTGTCATTCAAATTTAAAGGTATCTTTCCCTCTTGACTCCATCAATGTAGATAGAAGTTACATGAGTATACCATTGAATACATTTGCACTTTCTTGTTTAAGAAGACATTGAATGCAAAATAATTTACATGTACAACTTTATAAACATATGTCCAGGACCCAAAGTCGAGAGTCTTCCACATGTACAATCTCATCATCCTGAAGCCTATAATGAAGAAAAAGATTTAGAAACTCAAGTTGTGGAGCTGACTCTAATCAAATGTGATGATTGGAATTAGAACATTTGGCCTTTGAACTCTCGTAGGAAAAGTGACCCAACATTTCTTAGCATGAGCTACCTCATCTCTAGAAGCTGGGATGGACTTACTATTCTTGTTTATATTTTAGATACTAAAAGGTGCTATGCTTCTGTTATTATTCCAAGACTGGAGATAGGCAGGGCTAAAATGTATTATTATTTTTCCTCTAATGATGGTGCTAAAATTCCTTCTATAAAATTCTTTAAAAATAAAGATGGTTTCATCAATACCATTTGTGAAAAAATAATTGTTAGACTTCCCATTTCTGAAAGAAGGAGCATTGTTCCAGTGCCTTTTCATTGTTCATCTGTCATACTGTATCTGGAATGTTTTGTGATACTTGCATGTTTCTTAGACCAGAACATGTAGGTCCCCTTGTGTCTCAAGGTTTTTTTCCCCCTTAATTGCATTTGTTGGCTCCATTTTTATTTTTTCTTTAAAAATAAACAGCTGGGACCATCCCAAAGGCCAAGCCATGCACACAACTTTAGTCATGTATCTCTGCAAAACATCAAATTAAATGCACGCTTTTGTCATGTCAATGGTTTTCGTTTTGTGAAATTCCTTTGAACATATTAGATCCATTTTACTTCCAATGGTGAAAATTAAAGTGTTGTAGTATTATTTTTGGTCATTTGTCTAAAGGATAAAACAACAAGTACATTCCATTGTGTATATAATGGCTCAGAAACGAAAATCAATTTTCAACATCACCCACAAAGGCAACATGACACTAATTATCACTGTCTATGCCCTTAAAAATCTCAGGGTAGGATTATTGATAAAAAGAGAAAAGCAACTGATTTTTCATGGTTGAATAAAGTGTGATAATAAAACGTATGCTTCCAAGTATATCACATACGAATTTAGCCTAAATGATTTCAGAGTTTTATTTTCAATATTTATTTTACAACATTGTTTTTTCCCAAATTGGTTATTATTTGAGCTCTACATCTTCCATTTGAATGTTTATGTACCTGAAGACATTTGTGAGTTTGGTTTGTATTGAAACTTCCTTCAAGTCCAACCTATACATTTTGTACAAGTTCAGATAGATGGACCAGAAATATGTGGTGATTCTGTTAAGTCAAAAACACTAATAATCTCTAGCTATAGAAATTCCAGCTCTTATTTGGAGCTCTGGAATGAAAGGTTGACCTAGACAATTCCAAAGGCCCTCAAATTACTTGTCTGAGATCTAGATCTATAAGTCCCACTAGACTAGTGGACTTCTTTACCTTCCTAACTGATACCTCAAACTCTACATGATCAAAAGTGAAATAATCTACATCTGGGGAGGATGGTGACATTCACTGATTATGAATTTATTAAAAATACAAGTGAAAACTTCCAAAATTAACAGAAATTAAGAAAAAGAAGAAAAATAGCAAAGAAAGCATAAAGAATGCTGAAAAAAATCCCAAACTCATAAAATTTGGCAAATCATGGCCAAGTTGAAGGTAATTTATTCCAAATTGACAAGAGATTCAGGGAAATTGTAGACAACACCCCTTCTCAACAGAATCGTGTTATATGGCTGGGAGCAAGTGCAAACAATTCTGAGGGGAAAAAAAGAAATACTGCAGAGTCCTTATCCCACTATGAATAAAGAGCATCTCAAGCTGTTTTTCTTTGAAATTATGAAGATTTCAGGAGGGACTAAGAATAATCTCTTTTTCTTTTCTGGTTTTGCTTTTTTTTTCTTTAATTTAAATTCAATTAATTAACATTTAGTATGTTATTAATCTCTTAAAAGCTGATTTGGGGGCTGAGGCCCAACAATGGTAAACCAAGGCCATAATACCATATGACAACCACAAGTCTGTGGAGCACAAGACGTGTCAGGAAGCGATTTTTTATCAAAATGGGTGGCTTACCCAAGAGCAGCTTTTCTTCCTAACCTCCTTTAGCAATGCATCATTTTATCCAAATTTAAGTGTCAGCATTCCCCAGGGATCAGTCTTTTCCTATTTACCTTCGCACTCAATACTCTGTCATCACCGGCCCTTATCCATGCCCACAGTTGTAATTACTATGTGTCAGTAGCTCCAAAATGCATAACATAGCACAAATCTCTCCTTGCAGCTCAAGAAATGCATACATAAATGTTTAACTCACCATCTTCATTTGAGTTTCAAAGGTACTTGTAGCTCAGTATGTTATTCCTATCTCAAAGCTGGTTTATGTTCTGTGTTCCCCATCTCAAGGCAATAGTCTCATTATCCATCCATTTAATCAGGCCAGAAACCGTGAGTCATTCTTGACACTTCTCTCCCTCACCATGCCAGAATTCTGGCATGGCTAAGTATTTTCAATTTTGCCTTGTGAAAATAAAAGAAACCTAATTTAAAACGGAGTTGGAAAGCCCCGAAGGGGGAGCTCGCACAAAGTACCACTTGCTGTAAAGAAACGTAACTTGAATTTCCCAACAGAAAAGAAGCATACTTTACATACCCCAGCAGGAGGAAGGAGGAAGGATTTCTCCTTGCCCAGCAACAGCCCAGCTGATGAGAACTCAGTGCAACCGTCCCTCCCAGCTTCCTCCCTTCACCTATAAAAAAAAGCCCCTGTCCTCTGTTCTCCAGACTTGTGTATGATTCGCCATAGTGTGCGGGTCCCGAATCGCTATTCGCAAATAAACTCATTTTGCTGGTGAAATAACTGGCGCTTTCGCTTTTTTTGAAGTCGTGAGCCTAATAAATGTTTCTCTCTGTCTCCTCTGCCACGACACTGTCCACATTATCATTTCCTCTCTCCTGGGCTCCTTCAACAGCCTTCTTACAGGTTTTCAGGCATCCGTTCTTGCTCTTTTTTGAGCCCTTCTTCCCCAAGAGCTAGAGCGGTCAATTTGAAATACAAGTCTGAATATGTCACCTCACTCTCCTCCGCTCCATCCAACACACACACACATACACACACACACACACCTTAAAAAATTTCAGTGGTATCTTCCAGGATAAAGATAAAAATCCTTAAACTCAGAGTCTCTGCCATGACCTGACACCTGACTCCTGAAGCTTCATGTTGTCATTATCTGCCCTACTCTCTGCTCCACACACAATGGATTTCTGTCCATTTCCCCAAAACAGGGTTCCCCATCCTGCCTAAGTCTATTTGCGTATGTATTCCTTTTGCCCAGTTTACTTGTACTCATCTTTTAGAGTTCTGTTCAAGGACATCCTCACCCTTCACCACCACCCAGGTTAGATAAAGTCCCTGTTATAAATTTTCTTGGCACTCTGTGCTTTTCCCTTATAGCACAATTACAATGCTTTACACAGTTTTATGATTATTTGATTAGGGTCAGTCTTCTCTATTGTATTTGTTACAAGGGCAGGGGCTATTTATAAGGATCCGACATACTGCCTGGTATATTTGTGTTTGTTCAAAATATATTCATTGAGTGAATGATGAGAAATTATATACTGTGTAACTGGAAAAGTACACTTAGAGAGTATTAATAATTGATTTATGTATTAGTGTGAAGCATGTATCACTATTACTATGTATTATTTGTATTATTGGATAGGAAACACAATAGAAGAAATGATTCTATCCCCAATGGCAGTAACAGCATACAACACCAAAGACTAGATCTGACAAGAAGTCTATAGAACCTGACTAAAAAACTGTAACATTTCACTAAGATATGTAAAATAAGATAAACATGGGAATAAATGTGCTTTATTCTCACATAGGGAAGCTCAGTATTTGGAAAATGTAATTCTTTTTCCTAAATTCATGCCTAAATTAAATACAACCCCACTCAAAATCCCTATAGGATCTTAAAAACACGGAACATGACAAAATCATTCTAAAGTTCATTGGAGTAAAAAATATGCAAGAAAAATGATAAAGCATGCCCCCCCCCCCGAAAAAAAAACAGAAATGAGTAAAGTTGGGTCACTGGCCCTACTAGATAAAATTAGATGACAAAAATATAATAAAAAGCTACTGGCCATGGTAAAAGAAGAGTATTTAGAAATGAATCTATGCATGTATATTACAATTTAATATATAATTAATTCTCATGTAGTCAGTAAATTATATTACAGAAACTTGATAAACATTTATCATTTTAAAGCATGTTTCCTTCTCTAGTCCTCGTACCAAGGCATTTCCCAAATGGACTGAATATTTCCATTTGAAAAGAAAAACCTCTAAATGTATTAGTATAAAATACTTTGAGCAGTTTAATAATCTTGGAATGAGAATGAAACAAATATATAAATAATAAATTAAAATGTTGGAAGATCAGATTCTAAAATGAATTTCAAATCTCGATTATAAAACTCTTACAAGCATGTTCAAACTGGGAAAATTTTTGTATTTAATATGACAGAAAATATTTAATAGATTTACTTGCAAAAATTCCTTAGGAATCAGGAAGGCAAAAAATTAAAATATGAAAATCCTACATAGAGAATTCACAGAAGCCATAGTATAAAGGCCAATAAACATGTAGAAGATATTTAGTATCATTAGAAAAAAAATGCAACCAAAACAATAAGAAATTAAACTCTATCAGAATTTGACAGATTTTAAAATGTCTGATTGTATTGGGTATAAAAGAAGATGCAAGGAAACATATACTTTTTGCCTGTTTTTTTTTTTTTTTTACTGCATGTGGAAGGTATAGTTAAAGTCATTTTCTCAAATTGGTTTATTCAGATTCCTATTAGTATGAGAAGGGGCTGTGACCAGATGTGAGCTGTGGGAAAGAGAAAGAGCAGGATACAATGGGGTATATTCCAGGACCATTAATTTTACAGGATGACAAGTAACTGAAAATATCATTTGTAAAAATTACAAGAACAGATATTAAACAGAGTGGAACTTAAAAACACATGACAAAACCGATTTCACAATGGTGGCAGATTGATTTAGACTATAGCCTAGGAATCAGGTGTGGGTGCTTGATTTGCATGTGTATTTCATGTAAGAATATTGGCATTTTTTATTTGGAATGTAAAATGATTATCCAATCAACAGGAAGCCACTCTTGTATATTTACCATTTAGTGGGTAAAACAGAACAACACACCAACTGAATTGAATAAATATGTGGTGATAACTGATTTTAACGAAGTATTCACAGTGGAACCACAGGACTGAGCCATCTGAACTAGACTGGGATTTGGAAAGGAGGGGAAGCAAAGAAGAATACCTGAGGCTTGAACGATGAAAATAGTGTCTTGAGCAAGGGACCAGACATAAAGAATGACGTAGATCAAGGCATGGAGCTCTTAAAAGATGTGGTTTGTTTGGGGAACCCCAAGTGAGAAGTCAGGGCACTAGGACTAAATGCAGGGCATTACAGGGAAGTAAATAAAAGAAGCAGAAAGAGGCGTCAGGAAGGGACTTGTATGTCAAGCGAAAGAGATTGAAAATTATTCTGGAGGACTTTCTTTTAGGAAATTTTCGGTTTTCAGCTGAGAGTTTAACCATACCCTCTAGAGGGCCCTCAGAAATATGTGAGGAGGGTGTTTGTGGTTAGCATAAAAACTGGGAAATAATCTAGGCGTTTCATGGATAGGCCAAAG